TCCATAAGGACAGCTCAGTAAGATGCCTGACTCGTGTGGAACTCTAAGAAGATTATCATCTACAGAAGAGTTGCAATCTTCAAAAGTCACGCGATTTGATGGACCTTTGTAAGGACCTGCCGGGTTGCATACAAAAGAAGTTTGTATTCCAGGGAATGAACATTTCTCGAAGCGTATGAAAAGAAGAACGAGCTCAAATCGGCATTTGACAATTTCATCCTGGTCACTCAGGCAGCTGGCGGGCAGAAAACCATGCAAGCAGCAAAACAAATAAGACTAAATGTCAAATAGACAAAAAAGTTTTAAAATCTTCGAGTTCGAGCCATGGGGATCTTTTGGCAAAGCTGTACACATCGAAATTTTTTTAGCAAATTTCACCCTTAAGCTTCAGAAGATGAATACCGACAATCGCAATCAGCTCTGAAGGCAAGGCAAGGCAAGGCAAGGCAAGGCAAGGCAAGGCAAGGCAAGGCAAGGCAAGGCAAGGCAAGGCAAGGCAAGGCAATGCAAGGCAAGGTAAGGCAAGGCAAGGTAAGCCAAGGCAAGGCAAGGCAAGGCAAGGCAAGGCAACGCAAGGCAAGGCAAGGCAAGTCAAGGCAAGGCAAGGCAAGGCAAGGCAAGGCAAGGCAAGGCAATGCAGGCAATGCCTGCAAGGTTCAAAGGATAATCTAGTAATGTTGTTGAAATCTCGCGTCATCTCTTTTGTTATTGGAGCCTTTGCTACATAAGGAGAGCTGAGGAGGATGCTTGACTCGTGTGGAGTTCTAAGTAGATTCTCATCTAGAGAAGAAGTGCAATCTCGAAAAGTCACGCGATTTGATGGACCTTGGTGAGGACGTGCCAGGTTGCAGACAAAAGGAGTTTGTATTCCAGGAAAACGAACAACTCTCGAAGCGTATGAAAAGAAGAACGAGCTCAAATCGGCATTTGACAAAATCATCCTGGTCAATCAGGCAGCTGCTGGGTAGGAAACCATGCATTCGGCAGAACAAACAAGACTAAAGGTCGGATAGACAAAAAAGTTTCAAAATTTTCGAGTTCGAGCGATGGGGATCTTTTGGCAAAGCTGTACACATCGGAACTTTTTAAGCAAATTTCACCCCTAAGCTTCAGAAGATGAATACCGACGATCGCAATTAGCTTTGAAGGCAAGGCAAGGCAAGGCAAGGCAAGGCAAGGCGAGGCAAGGCAAGGCAAGGCAAGGCAAGGCAAGGCAAGGCAAGGCACGGCAAGGCAAGGCAAGGCAAGGCAAGGCAAGGAAAGGCAAGGCAAGGCAAGGCAACGCAAGGCAAGGCAAGGCAATGCAGGCAATGCCTGCAAGGTTCAAAGGATAATCTAGTAATATTGTTGAAATCTCGCGTCATCTCTTTTGTTATTGGAGCCTTTGCTCTATAAGGACAGCTGAGGAAGATGCTTGACTCGTGTGGAGCTCTAAGTAGATTATAATCTACAGAAGAGTTGCAATCTTCAAAAGTCACGCGATTTGATGGACATTGGTGAGAACCTGCCGGGTTGCATACAAAAGAAAGTTGTATTCCAGGGAACGAACATTTCTCGAAGCGTATGAAAAGAAGAACGAGCTCAAATCGGCATTTGACAATTTCATCCTGGTCACTCAGGCAGCTGGCGGGCAGAAAACCATGCAAGCAGCAAAACAAAAAAGACTAAATGTCAAATAGACAAAAAAGTTTTAAAATCTTCGAGTTCGAGCCATGGGGATCTTTTGGCAAAGCTGTACACATCGAAATTTCTTTAGCAAATTTCACCCTTAAGCTTCAGAAGATGAATACCGACAATCGCAATCAGCTTTGAAGGCAAGGCAAGGCAAGGCAATGCAAGGCAATGCAAGGCAAGGTAAGGCAAGGCAAGGCAAGGCAAGGCAAGGCAAGGCAAGGCAAGGCAAGGCAAGGCAAGGCAAGGCAAGGCAAGGCAAGGCAAGGCAAGGCAAGGCAAGGCAAGGCACGGCAAGGCAAGGCAAGGTAAGGCAAGGCAAGGCAAGGCAAGGCAAGGCAAGGCAAGGCAAGGCAAGGCAAGGCAAGGCAAGGCAAGGCAAGGCAAGGCAAGGCAAGGCAAGGCAAGGCAAGGCGAGGCAAGGCAAGGCAAGACAAGGCAAGGCAAGGCAAGGCAAGGCAAGACAAGGCAAAGCAAGGCAAGGCAAGGAGGCAAGGCAAGGAGGCAAGGCAAGGCAAGGCAAGGCAAGGCAAGGCAAGGCAAGGCAAGGCAAGGCAAGGCAAGGCAAGGCAAGGCAAGGCAAGGCAAGGCAAGGCAAGGCAAGGCAAGGCAAGGCAAGGCAAGGCAAGGCAAGGCAAGGCAAGGCAATGCAAGGCAAGGCAAGGCAAGGCATGGCAAGGCAAGGCAAGGCAAGGCAAGGCAAGGCAAGGCAAGGCAAGGCAAGGCAAGGCATCGCAAGGCAAGGCAAGGTAAGGCCGGCAAGGCAAGGCAAGGCGAGTCGAGGCGAGGCGAGGCGAGGCAAGGCAAGGCAAGGCAAGGCAAGGCAAGACAAGGCAAGGCAAGGCAAGGCAAGGCAAGGCAAGGCAAGGCAAGGCAAGGCAAGGCAAGGCAAGGCAAGGCAAGGCAAGGCAAGGCAAGGCAAGGCAAGGCAAGGCAAGGCAAGGCAAGGCAAGGCAAGGCAAGGCAAGGCAAGGCAAGGCAAGGCAAGGCAAGGCAAGGCAAGGCAAGGCAAGGCCGGCAAGGTCGGCAAGGCAAGGCAAGGCAAGGCAAGGCAAGGCAAGGCAAGGCAAGGCAAGGCAAGGCAAGGCAAGGCAAGGCAAGGCAAGGCAAGGCAAGGCAAGGCAAGGCAAGGCAAGGCAAGGCAAGGCAAGCCAAGCCAAGGCAAGGCATGGCAATAAAAGACAAGGCCGGGCAAGGCAACGCAAGGCAAGGCAAGGCAAGGCCGGCAAGGTCGGCAAGGCAAGGCAAGGCAAGGCAAGGCAAGGCAAGGCAAGGCAAGGCAAGGCAAGGTAATGCAAGCCAAGGCAAGGCATGGCAATAAAAGACAAGGCCGGGCAAGGCAACGCAAGGCAAGGCAAGGCAAGGCCGGCAAGGTCGGCAAGGCAAGGCAAGGCAAGGCAAGGCAAGGCAAGGCAAGGCAAGGCAAGGCAAGCCAAGGCAAGGCAAGGCAAGGCAAGGCAAGACAAGGCAAGGCAAGCCAAGGCAAGGCAAGGCAAGGCAAGGCAAGGCAAGGCAAGGCAAGGCAAGGCAAGGCAAGGCAAGGCAAGGCATCGCAAGGCAAGGCAAGGTAAGGCCGGCAAGGCAAGGCAAGGCGAGTCGAGGCGAGGCGAGGCGAGGCAAGGCAAGGCAAGGCAAGGCAAGACAAGGCAAGGCAAGGCAAGGCAAGGCAAGGCAAGGCAAGGCAAGGCAAGCCAAGGCAAGGCAAGGCAAGGCAAGACAAGGCAAGGCAAGGCAAGGCAAGGCAAGGCAAGGCAAGGCAAGGCAAGGCAAGGCAAGGCAAGGCAAGGCAAGGCAAGGCAAGGCAAGGCAAGGCCGGCAAGGTCGGCAAGGCAAGGCAAGGCAAGGCAAGGCAAGGCAAGGCAAGGCAAGGCAAGGCAAGGCAAGGCAAGGCAAGGCAAGGCAAGGCAAGGCAAGGCAAGGCAAGGCAAGGCAAGGCAAGGCAAGGCAAGGCAAGGCAAGGCAAGGCAAGCCAAGCCAAGGCAAGGCGTGGCAATAAAAGACAAGGCCGGGCAAGGCAACGCAAGGCAAGGCAAGGCAAGGCCGGCAAGGTCGGCAAGGCAAGGCAAGGCAAGGCAAGGCAAGGCAAGGCAAGGCAAGGCAATGCAAGCCAAGGCAAGGCATGGCAATAAAAGACAAGGCCGGGCAAGGCAACGCAAGGCAAGGCAAGGCAAGGCCGGCAAGGTCGGCAAGGCAAGGCAAGGCAAGGCAAGGCAAGGCAAGGCAAGGCAAGGCAAGGCAAGGCAAGGAGGCAAGGCAAGGCAAGGCAAGGCAAGGCAAGGCAAGGCAAGGCAAGGCAAGGCAAGGCAAGGCAAGGCAAGGCAAGGCAAGGCAAGGCAAGGCAAGGCAAGGCAAGGCAAGGCAAGCCAAGGCAAGGCAAGGCAAGGCAAGGCAAGGCAAGGCAAGGCAAGGCAAGGCAAGGCAAGGCAAGGCAAGGCAAGGCAAGGCAAGGCAAGGCAGGGCAAGGCAAGGTAAGGCAAGGCAAGGCAAGGCAAGGCAAGGCAAGGCAAGGCAAGGCAAGGCAAGGCAAGGCAAGGCAAGGCAAGGCAAGGCAAGGCAAGGCAAGGCAAGGCAAGGCAAGGCAAGGCAAGGCAAGGCAAGGCAAGGCAAGGCAAGGCAAGGCAAGGCAAGGCAAGGCAAGGCAAGGCAAGGCAAGGCAAGGCAAGGCAAGGCAAGGCAAGGCATGGCAACAAAAGGCAAGGCAAGGTAAGGCCGGCAAGGTAAGGCAAGGCGAGTCGAGTCGAGGAGAGGCGAGGCAAGGCAAGGCAAGGCAAGGCAAGGCAAGGCAAGGCAAGGCAAGGCAAGGCAAGGCAAGGCAAGGCAAGGCAAGGCAAGGCAAGGCAAGGTAAGGCAAGGCAAGGCAAAGGCAAGGCAAGGCAAGGCAAGGCAAGGCAAGGCAAGGCAAAGGCAAGACAAGGCAAGACAAGGCAAGGCAAGGCAAGGCAAGGCAAGGCAAGGCAAGGCAAGGCAAGGCAAGGCAAGGCAAGGCAATGCAAGCCAAGGCAAGGCATGGCAATAAAAGACAAGGCCGGGCAAGGCAACGCAAGGCAAGGCAAGGCAAGGCAAGGCCGGCAAGGTCGGCAAGGCAAGGCAAGTCAAGGCAAGGCAAGGTAGGGCAAGGCAAGGCCAAACAAAGTAAAGTAAGGCAAAATAAGGCAACGCGAGGCGAGACAAGGCAAGGCAAAGCAAGGCAAGGCAAGGCAAGACAAGGCAAGGCAGGGCAAGGCAAGGCAGGGCAAGGCAAGGCAAGGCAAGGCAAGGCAAGGCAAGGCAAGGCAAGGCAATGCAAGGCAAGGTAAGGCAAGGCTACGCAAGGCAAGCGAAGCCAAGCAATGCCAAGCGGAGCCCAGCCCCACCAAGCCGAGGCAAAGCATGTCAAGCCAAGCCAAGGCAACGCAAGCCAAGCCAAGGCAAAACCAGGCGAGGCGAGGCGAGGCGAGGCGAAGCAAGACAAGGCAAGGTCAGGCCAGGCCAGGGAAATTAAGTTAAACCAAGGCAAGGCAATGCAAGGAAAACAAGGCAAGACACGGTATGGCAGGGGAAGGCAAGGCAAGGGAGACAATGCGAGACAAACAACGCATGACAGGCATTGCAAGGCAAGACAAGGCAAGGCAAGGCAAGGCAAGTCAAGGCAAGGCAAGGCAAGGTAAGGCAAGCGAAGCCAATCAAAGCCAAGCGGAGCCCAGCCCCACCAAGCCGAGCTAAAGCAAGTCAAGCCAAGGCAAGACATTGCAAGCCAAGCCAAGGCAAAGCCAGGCGGCGAGGCGAGGCGAGGCGAGGCGAGGCGAGGCGAGGCGAGGCGAGGCGAGGCGAGGCGAAGCAAGGCAAGGCAAGGTCAAGCCAGGCCAGGGAAAGTAAGTTAATCCAAGGCAAGGCAAGGCAAGGAAAACAAGGCAAGACACGGTATTGCAGGGGAAGGCAAGGCAAGGGAGGCAATGCGAGAAGAACGAGGCAAGACAGGCAAGGCAGGGCAAGGCAAGGCAAGGCAAGGCAAAGCAAGGCAAGGCAAGGCAAGGTAAGGCAAGCGAAGCCAATCAAAGCCAAGCGGAGCCCAGCCCCACCAAGCCGAGCTAAAGCAAGTCAAGCCAAGGAAAGACATTGCAAGCCAAGCCAAGGCAAAGCCAGGCGAGACGAGGCGAGGCGAGGCGAGGCGAAGCAAGGCAAGGCAAGGTCAAGCCAGGCCAGGGAAAGTAAGTTAATCCAAGGCAAGGCAAGGCAAGGAAAACAAGGCAAGATACGGTATTGCAGGGGAAGGCAAGGCAAGGGAGGCAATGCGAGAAGAACGAGGCAAGACAGGCAAGGCAGGGCAAGGCAAGGCAAGGCAAGGCAAGGCAAGGCAAGGCAAGGCAAGGCAAGGCAAGGCAAAGCAAGGCAAGGCAAAGCAAGACAAGGCAAGGCAAGGCAAGGCAAGGCAAGGCACGGCACGGCAAGGCAAGGGAAGGCAAGGCAAGGCAATGCAAGGCAAGGCAAGGCAAGGCAAGGCAAGGCAAGGCAAGGCAAGGCAAGGCAAGGCAAGGCAAGGCAAGGCAAGGCAAGGCAAGACAAGGCAAGGTAAGACAAGGCAAGGCAAGGCAAGGCAAGGCAAGGCAAGGCAAGGCAAGGCAAGGCAAAGCAAGGCAAGGCAAGGCAAGGCAAGGCAAGGCAAGGCAATGCAAGGCAAGGCAAAGCAAGGCAAGGCAAGGCAAGGCAAGGCAAGGCAAGGCAAGGCAAGGCAAGGCAATGCAAGGCAAGGTTAGGCAAGGCTAGGCAAGGCAAGCGAAGCCAATCGAAGCCAAGCGAAGCCAAGCAATGTCAAGCGGAGCCCATCCCCACCAAGCCGAGCCAAAGCAATTCAAGCGAAGCCAAGGCAATGTAAGCCAAGCCAGGGCAAAGCCAGGCAAGGAAAACAAGGCAAGACACGGTATTGCAGGGGAAGGCAAGGCAAGGGAGGCAATGCGAGAAGAACGAGGCAAGACAGGCAAGGCAGGGCAGGGCAAGGCAAGGCAAGGCAAGGCAAGGCAAGGCAAGGCAAGGCAAAGCAAGGCAAGGCAAGGCAAGGTAAGGCAAGCGAAGCCAATCAAAGCCAAGCGGAGCCCAGCCCCACCAAGCCGAGCTAAAGCAAGTCAAGCCAAGGCAAGACATTGCAAGCCAAGCCAAGGCAAAGCCAGGCGAGACGAGGCGAGGCGAGGCGAGGCGAAGCAAGGCAAGGCAAGGTCAAGCCAGGCCAGGGAAAGTAAGTTAATCCAAGGCAAGGCAAGGCAAGGAAAACAAGGCAAGATACGGTATTGCAGGGGAAGGCAAGGCAAGGGAGGCAATGCGAGAAGAACGAGGCAAGACAGGCAAGGCAGGGCAAGGCAAGGCAAGGCAAGGCAAGGCAAGGCAAGGCAAGGCAAGGCAAGGCAAGGCAAGGCAAGGCAAGGCAAGGCAAGGCAAGGCAAGGCAAGGCAAAGCAAGGCAAGGCAAAGCAAGACAAGGCAAGGCAAGGCAAGGCAAGGCAAGGCAAGGCAAGGCACGGCAAGGCAAGGGAAGGCAAGGCAAGGCAATGCAAGGCAAGGCAAGGCAAGGCAAGGCAAGGCAAGGCAAGGCAAGACAAGGCAAGGTAAGACAAGGCAAGGCAAGGCAAGGCAAGGCAAGGCAAAGCAAGGCAAGGCAAGGCAAGGCAAGGCAAGGCAAGGCAAGGCAAAGCAAGGCAAGGCAAGGCAAGGCAAGGCAAGGCAAGGCAAGGCAAGGCAAGGCAAGGCAAGGCAAGGCAAGGCAAGGCAAGGCAAGGCAAGGCAAGGCAAGGCAAGGCAAGGCAATGCAAGGCAAGGTTAGGCAAGGCTAGGCAAGGCAAGCGAAGCCAATCGAAGCCAAGCGAAGCCAAGCAATGTCAAGCGGAGCCCATCCCCACCAAGCCGAGCCAAAGCAATTCAAGCGAAGCCAAGGCAATGTAAGCCAAGCCAGGGCAAAGCCAGGCGAGGCGAGACGAAGCGAGGCAAAGCAAGGCAAGGCAAGGCAAGGCATATCAGGCCAGGCCAGATAAAGTAAGTTAAACCAAGGCAAGGCAAGGCAAGGCAAGGAAAATAATGCAAGACACGGTATCGCAGGGGAAGGCAAGGCAAGGGAGGCAATGCAAGTCAAGCCAAGGCAAGACATTGCAAGCCAATCCAAGGCAAAGCCAGGCGAGACGAGGCGAGACGAGGCGAGGCGAAGCAAGGCAAGGCAAGGTCAAGCCAGGCCAGGGAAAATAAGTTAATCCAAGGCAAGGCAAGGCAAGGCAAGGAAAACAAGGCAAGACACGGTATTGCAGGGGAAGGCAAGGCAAGGGAGGCTATGCGAGAAGAAAGAGGCAAGACAGGCAATGCAGGGCAAGGCAAGGCAACGCAAAGCAAGGCAAGGTAAGGCAAGACAGGGCAAGGCAAGGCAAGGCAAGGCAAGGCAAGGCAAGGCAAGGCAAGTCAAGGCAAGGCAAGGCAAGGCAAGGCAAGGCAATGCAAGGCAAGGCAAGGTACGGTAAGACACGGCAAGGCAAGGCAAGGCAATGCAAGGCAAGGCAAGGCAAGGCAAGACAAGGCAAGGTAAGACAAGGCAAGGCAAGGCAAGATAAGGCAAAGCAAGGCAAGGCAAGGCAAGGCAAGGCAAGGGTAGGGCAGGCAAGGCAGGGTAGGGCAAGGCAAGGCACGGCAAGGCAAGGCAAGGCAAGGCAAGGCAAGGCAAGGCAAGGCAAGACAAGGCAAGCGAGGCGAGGCGAGGCAAAGCAAGGCAAGGCAAGGTCAGGCCAGGCCCGGGAAAGTAAGTTAAGCCAAAGCAAAGCCAGGCGAGGCGAGGCGAGGCGAAGCAAAGCAAGGCAAGGCAAGGCAAGGTCAGGCCAGGCCAGGCCAGGGAAAGTAAGTTAAGCCAAGGCACGGCAAGGCAAGGAAAACAAGGCAAGACATGTATCGCAGGGGAAGGCAAGGCAAGGGAGGCGAGGCGAGGCAAGGCAAGGCAAGGCAAGGCAAGGCAAGGCAAGGCAAGGCAAGGCAAGGCAAGGTAAGGCAAGGCAAGGCAAGGCAAGGCAAGGCAAGGCAAGGCAAGGCAAAATATGGCAACGCAAGGCGAGACAAGGCAAGGCAAGGCAAGGCAAGGCAAGACAAGGCAATGCAAGGCAAGTCAAGGCAAGGCAAGTCAAGGCAAGGCCAGGCAGTGTAAGGCAAGGCAAGGCAAGGCAAGGCAAGGCAAGGCAAGGCAAGGCAAAGCAAGGTAAGGCAAGGCAAGGCAAGACAAGGCGATGCAAGGCAAAGCAAGGCAAGGTAAGGCAAGGCATGGCAAGGCGAGCGAAGCCAAGCAATGCCAAGCGAAGCCAAGCAATGCCAAGCGGAGCCCAGACAAAGCAAGGCAAGGCAAGGCAAGGCAAGGCAAGGCAATGCAAGGCAAGGCAAGGCCAGGCCAGGCCAGGCCAGGCCAGACAAACTAAGGTAAATCAAGGCATGGCAAGGAAAACCAGGCAAGAAACGGTATGGCAAGGGAAGGCAAGGTATGAAAGGCAATGTGAGACCAATAAAGCAAGAAATGCAAGGCAAGGCAAGGTAAGGCAAGGCAAGGCAAGGCAAGGCAAGGCAAGGCACGGCACGGCACGGCAAGGCAAGCAAGACAAGGCAATGCAAGCCAAGGCAAGGCAAGGTAAGTCAAGGCAAGGCCAGGCAGTGTAAGGCAAGGCAAGGCAAGGCAAGGCAAGGCAAGGCAAGGCAAGGCAAGGCAAGGCAAGGCAAGGCAAGGCAAGGCAAGGCAAGGCAAGGCAAGGCAAGGCGAGGCAAGTTAAGCAAGGCAAGGTAAGGCAAGGCAAGGCAAGGCGAGCGAGCGAAGCCAAGCAATGCCAAGCGAAGCCAAGCAATGCCAAGCGGAGCCCAGACAAGCCAAGACAAGGCAAGGCAAGGCAATGCAAGGCAAGGCAAGGCCAGGCAAGGCAAGACAAACTAAGGTAAATTAAGGCAAGGCAAGGAAAACAAGTAACGGTATGGCAAGGGAAGGCAAGGTGTGGGAAGGCATTGTGAGACCAATAAAGCAAGAAATGCAAGGCAAGGCAAGGCAAGGCAAGGTAAGGCAAGGCAAGGCAAGGCAAGGCAAGGCAAGGCACGGCACGGCAAGACAAGGCAAGGGAAGGCACGAAACGGCAAGGCAACGCAAGGAAAAGCAATGTAATGCAAGGTAAGGCAAGGCAAAGTAAAACAAGTCAAGTCAAGCCAAGACAAGGCAAACCAAGACAAGGCAATACAGGCAAGGCAAGGCAAGGCAAAGCAAGGCAAAGCAAGGCAAGGCAAGGCAAGGCAAGGCAAGGCAAGGCAAGGCAAGGCAAGGCAAGGCAAGGCAAGGCAAGGCAAGGCAAGGCAAGGCAAGGCAAGGCAAGGCAAGGCAAGTCAAGGCAAGGCAAGGCAAGGCAATGCAAGGCAAAGCAAGGTAAGGCAAGGCAAGACAAGGCGAGGCAAGTTAAGCAAGGCAAGGTAAGGCAAGGCAAGGCAAGGCGAGCGAGCGAAGCCAAGCAATGCCAAGCGAAGCCAAGCAATGCCAAGCGGAGCCCAGACAAGCCAAGACAAGGCAAGGCAAGGCAATGCAAGGCAAGGCAAGGCCAGGCAAGGCAAGACAAACTAAGGTAAATTAAGGCAAGGCAAGGAAAACAAGTAACGGTATGGCAAGGGAAGGCAAGGTGTGGGAAGGCATTGTGAGACCAATAAAGCAAGAAATGCAAGGCAAGGCAAGGCAAGGTAAGGCAAGGCAAGGCAAGGCAAGGCAAGGCACGGCACGGCAAGACAAGGCAAGGGAAGGCACGAAACGGCAAGGCAACGCAAGGAAAAGCAATGTAATGCAAGGTAAGGCAAGGCAAAGTAAAACAAGTCAAGTCAAGCCAAGACAAGGCAAACCAAGACAAGGCAATACAGGCAAGGCAAGGCAAGGCAAAGCAAGGCAAAGCAAGGCAAGGCAAGGCAAGGCAAGGCAAGGCACGGCAAGGCAAGGCAAGATAAGACAAGCCAAGATAAGGCAAGCCAAGACAAGGCAATACAAGGCAAGGGAAGGCAAGGCAAGCCAAGACAAGGCAAGCCAAGACAAGTCAAGTCAAGGCAATGCAAGGCAAGGCAAGGCAAGGCAAGGCAAGCCAAGACAAGGCACGCCAAGACAAGGCAATACAAGGCAAGGTAAGTCAATGCAAGGCAAGACCAGGCAAGGCATGGCAAGAGAATGCAAGTCAAGGGAAGGTAATGCGTGACCAGCAATGCACGACAGGCAAGACAGGGCGAGGAAGACAAGGCAAGGCAAGTAAGGCAATGCATGGCAAGACAAGGCAATGTAAGTCAATGCACGGCAAGGCAATTCAAGGCAAGGCAATGAACGGCAAGACAAGGCAAGGCAAGGCAAGGCCAGGCAAGGCATGGCAAGCAAGGCATGGCAGGGCACGTCAAGGCAAGGCAAGGCAAGGCTAGGGAAGGCAATGCAAGGCAAGACCAGGCAAGGCAGGGAAGACAAGTCAAGACGAGGTATGGCGAGAGAAGGCAAGTCAAGGGAAGGCAATGCGTCACCAGCAATGCAAGACAGTCAAGGCAGGGCAAGGAAGACAAGGCAAGGCAAGTAAGGTAATGCAAGGCAAGGCAAGGCGAGGCAAGGCAAGGCAAGGCAAGGCAAGGCAAGGCAAGGCAAGGCAAGGCAAGGCAAGGCAAGGCAAGGCAAGGCAAGGCGAGGCAAGGCAAGGTAAGACAAGGCAATGCAATGCAAGGCAAGGCAAGGCAAGGCAAGGCGAGGCAACGCAAGCCAAGGCAAGGCAAGGCAAGGCAAGGCAAGGCAAGGTAAGGCAAGGCCAGCAAGGCAAGACAAACTAAGTTAAATTAAGGCAAGGCAAGGAAAACAAGGCAAGAAACGGTATGGCAAGGTAAGGCAAGGTATGGGAAGGCAATGTGAGACCAATAAAGCAAGAAATGCAAGGCAAGGCAAGGCGAGGCAAGGCACGGCACGGCAAGACAAGGCAAGGGAAGGCACGAAACGGCAAGACAACGCAAGGAAAGGCATTGTAATGCAAGGTAAGGCAAGGCAAAGTAAAACAAGTCAAGTCAAGCCAAGACAAGGCAAGCCAAGACAAGGCAATACAAGGCAAGGCAAGGCAAGGCAAAGCAAGGCAAAACAAGGCAAGGCAAGGCAAGGCAAGGCAAGGCAAAGCAAGGCACGGCAAGGCAAGGCAAGATAAGGCAAGCCAAGACAAGGCAAGCCAACACAAGGCAATACAAGGCAAGGGAAGGCAAGGCAAGCCAAGACAAGGTAAGCCAAGACAAGTCAAGACAAGGCAATGCAATGCAAGGCAAGGCAAGGCAAGGTAAGGCAAGGCAAGGCAAGGCAAGGCGAGGCAAGGCAAGCCAAGGCAAGGCAAGGCAAGGCAAGGCAAGGCAAGGCCAGCAAGGCAAGACAAACTAAGTTAAATTAAGGCAAGGCAAGGAAAACAAGGCAAGAAACGGTATGGCAAGGGAAGGCAAGGTATGGGAAGGCAATGTGAGACCAATGAAGCAAGAAATGCAAGGCAAGGCAAGGCGAGGCAAGGCACGGCACGGCAAGACAAGGCAAGGGAAGGCACGAAACGGCAAGACAACGCAAGGAAAGGCATTGTAATGCAAGGTAAGGCAAGGCAAAGTAAAACAAGTCAAGTCAAGCCAAGACAAGGCAAGCCAAGACAAGGCAATACAAGGCAAGGCAAGGCAAGGCAAGGCAAAGCAAGGCAAAACAAGGCAAGGCAAGGCAAGGCAAGGCAAAGCAAGGCACGGCAAGGCAAGGCAAGATAAGGCAAGCCAAGACAAGGCAAGCCAACACAAGGCAATACAAGGCAAGGGAAGGCAAGGCAAGCCAAGACAAGGCAAGCCAAGACAAGTCAAGTCAAGGCAATGCAAGGCAATGCAAGGCAAGGCAAGCCAAGCCAAGACAAGGCACGCCAAGACAAGGCAATACAAGGCAAGGTAAGTCAATGCAAGGCAAGACCAGGCAAGGCAGGGAAGACAAGTCAAGACGAGGTATGGCAAGTGAAGGCAAGTCAAGGGAAGGTAATGCGTGACCAGCAATGCAAGACATGCAAGGCAGGGCGAGGAAAACAAGGCAAGGCAAGTAGGGCAAGGCATGGCAAGGCAAGGCAATGCAAGGCAAGGTAAGGCAAGGCAAGTCAAGGAAAGGCAAGGCAATACACGGCAAGACAAGGCAAGGCAAGGCAAGGCAAGGCAAGGCCAGGCAAGGCATGGCAAGCAAGGCATGGCAGGGCACGTCAAGGCAAGGCAAGGCAAGGCAAGGCAAGGCAAGGGAAGGCAATGCAAGGCAAGACCAGGCAATGCAGGGAAGACAAGTCAAGACGAGGTATGACGAGAAAAGCCAAGTCAAGGGAAGGCAATGCGTGACCTGC